ATCCTTTAAATCGCTTAGCGCGCAACTTATGCCAGTCAATGCAAAAACCTATATTTAGTGTTTGCGGTTAATATACTAGATAACCCCTTTAGATCTTCAAGGCGAATGTGGATTTAACCATTACCGTACATGAAATAGATGATTTATATGATTAGCATGTCAAACACCCCGCAGTTAACATGCCATTGTGATTTTGGCACCGTATGCCTACCATAATGCTGCAACAGGGCCCTATTGTGCGGAAATAGTAATTTGTGGTCACACGTCAAAATCTCTTTCGGCGAAGTTCTAGCGAACCCCTTTGATGACGGTAATGCAAGGGAGCTGAATTTTTAGATAACTTGGGCACTGGAGAGAGAAAATGAGTGAAGACATATTAGAACTCACGCTAATATACTTTATGTTTCGGAGAATTTGTAACAGTATCCCTTCTATACTTAGCCTTGGATAAACGACAACATGCTGAAAGTGCGTACCACTGAAAATAAGATAATTAAACTCCTCGCTACAGTAGAAGACGTTTTCATGATTTTTTCGAACAGACTTCAATGGCCGCGTAATGCTGAGTTGGGAAATCCCCTGTTGTCATAAAATTTAGAAGTTCAATCGTAACCGCGTTCGTATTTTGCGCTTCATAGTTATGCATATCCAAGGACTGTTGTTCTACAAGTTGTGGTTGACAAAGTTGTGCCTAAAAATGTCATCTTTATACTCGCAAGCAGGAATTTAAGTAAACGTGTCTGTTTTAGAGCGAGAAACACGGATTGAATATATGAAGGGAACCTGAAAAAATGAGAATGAGACAATGATATTGTTGACGTGCTTGCTGGTTACGAAATTACTGGCTTCAGTAAACGGTGATGGAGAGGTAAGCTCTAAGAGAAGATGAAATTAAGGCAGTTGCCAAAGCTGTCTTAACTTCTCGATGGCGAAAGTATGTATTTCCATGCTTCAGTTTCCTACTTGGATCCAGCAAGGTGCTCTATCATGCGCAGTCATAGACTCCTTAAAAAATTGTTCGACATGTTTATGTGCAATAGATCACTACCAGAGACGTCAGAAATCAAATCAATAATTCGGGTCGATGCAAGAGTAGAGGCTAACGACGAACTCTAAAGTCAAATCCATTTTACGTTTCGAAAGAATTAGCGGAGTGGTAGTGGATTTCTGCTATATTTGTGAATCGTCTCAAGATGTCTAAAGATAAACTACTTAAACTGACTTTTAAACGTACCTTTTGAAGGCAATTTGCCTTTATAATCATGAAATCACCTTTGCTGCTGAGACACTTCATTGTACTTGTTGAGGTTAATGCGCACCTGGGAATGACAAATATCTACATAAATTGGAAGGTGGATTACGCTGACCAGTCTGTTCTTTTCGTCGTGACTCAGGAAACGCTGCTACTTGGATACGTCATTATAGGCTTTTCTGATCATGGATCATACAATAATTCAGATATATGCATCTACAACGAAGGGAAACTTAGGGTAAGCAACCGGAGCAATAAATGACTGTAAGAGGCATACAAATAAAATCTATGTGCAGGATGGCTACATTGACGGCAATTTTCAAATACACTTTGATCGCAGTCAAGATTGCCAGCTGGAGAAGAGACAGAGCAACAAGTTCGCTTTTCGAAGAAGATTTGCAACGTGTGACTCCAGGGATTTTGCCTTTGAAGTGGGATACCTCTATAGCTAGGATGCAGACAAGAGCGCAGTTACAAACTATACATTTTAGACAGGAACCACACAATTCATTATCGCTGGAGGTTTTGAGTTCACCCGGGATTTCAGCAGCAGTTCTGTCATGAAGGTGACACCTTATATTAATTCGGACCAAACTAGTCTTATTATCCATGTCCAGTATTGTTCCTAATTACGTTGAATATCAAATGGCAGGTGATGCGATACGGTGTTCTTATTGATATGGAAGACACTGCGAGTCCAGAAGAACCAGTGGGAACCCATTTCAAAGTTCTAGCTGACGACGCGCTGGTGCGTTCATGGAATAATAGTGTACTTAGATCTTGTTATTATTCCTTGATTTGTAGATACCCAATGTAGTCACCACGTATTGGTGTATAATCGAAAGAATACCGCCTGAACTCAGCAATCGAAAGCATCATATTGTCCAGGTGCGTTCATCTTGACAATTTCTCTGTTACGGAAATTAAAAGTTTATTTGAAGATAAATCCGTCAATAAAGAAGGGCAACGAGAACCTGGTCCATCACATGGAGGTGAGCGCTCGCTTTCAAATTTTGATTTCTTTTACAATATTTGAAGCACATACCGTATTTCCTAACATTCTTT